TGCGTGTCATAAGTTCGCCATCACGGGAATAAGTTGTCTCCAGCCTTGGGCAGAGGGTTGGACTAGATGCTCTCTGAGGTCCCTTCCAGCCCTAGAATTCTACATAATGACAGAATTTATTGACAATACAGGTAGTCCTCAACCTACGGCCGTGATTGAGCCCCAAATTTATGTCGCTAAGGGAGAAATCTGTGAAGTGAGTTTTGCTCCACTTTACGACTTTTCCTGGCCCGTTTGTGGTGTGAATCCTTGCAGTCGTTAAGCTGGTAACCCGGTTGTGAAGTGAACTTGGCTTCCCTGCTGACCTTGCTGGTTGTAAAAGGGGACCCCGTGACCCTGGAACACTGCAACCGTCATAAACGTGAGTCGGTTGTTAAGCACCTGAATGCAAATCACCTGACCAGGGGGATGCTACAACGGTCATAAGCCTGAAAAAAATGGTCATAAGTCACTTTTTTCCCAGTGCCGATGTAACTTCGAATGGTCACTAAGTGAAGCTGTTGTAAATCGAGGGCTACCTGTCCAAGAAGGAACAAGATGTGACGATTCTCCAAAACCAAGTCCGATGTAGGAATATCTCTGCTCCAGGGGTGAAATCCAGCAGGTTCTGACAGGTTCTGGAGAACTGGTAGCGGAAATTTGGAGTAGTTCAGAGAACTGGTAAATACCACCTCTGGCTGGCCACGCCCCCATCTATTCTCTGCCTCCCGAGTCCCAGGGGATCGGAATGGGGATTTTACAGTATCCTTCCCCTGCCACGCCCGCCAAGCCACGCCCACCAAGCCATGCCATGCCCATCAAGCCACGCCCGCAGAACCGGTAGTAAAACATTGAATTTCACCACTGCGCTGCTCTCATTTGTAAAATCAGAGGTAATAGAGAGATATAAACCTAAGGAAATTTTGGCTGCGTTATACACCAGCCAGGAATTCTGCCAAGCCACAATTAAACTCTCTAAATTCTCCGGATTTTTGTTAAAAAGCAAAGTTGACATTCAACATCCTGCAGGTAATGTATTTTTTTGATTTTCCAACGGAAGAAAAAAGGCGTCGAATCATCTCGGGAATATTCCAGTCACACAAAGCCCTGACACAGAGAGAGAGTTTTTCATGAATCATAAATGCCAGAATACTTTTATAAACAACGCTGATATTAAAGCTGCGCTTCATACGAAGTTTTGCCATCGGCTTAAAGCCAAGACAATGACGGTACTTAAAGCCGTTTTGAGGCAATGAACCTAACTGGATGGTAACTGGGGGAAGGAACAAGCAGAGAGCGGGAGAAGATCGCTGAATGGTCTCCTTTCCCCAGTGTGTATGTGTGTGTGTGTGTGTGTGTGTGTGTGTGTGTGTTTGTGTGTATGTGTCTGTCCTTTTGCTTCATCTTGTATCTCCACCCTCCTTCCTTCCTCCCTCCCTCTCTCCCTAATTCCTTTCTTCCTTCCTTCTTTCCCTCCCTCTAATTCCTTCCTTCCTTCCATCCTTCCTTCCCTCCCCTTCCTAATTCCTTCCCTCCCTCCTTCCTTCCCTCCCTTTAATTCCTTCCTTCCTTCCATCCATCTTTCCCTCCCTCCTTCCTAATTCCTTCCCTCCCTCCTTCCTAATTCCCTCCCTCCCTAATTTATTCCTCCCTCCCTCCTTCCCTCTCCATTCCTCCCTCCTGCCTCCATTTTCCTCCCTCCCTAATTCCTTCTTTCCCCTTTCTTTCCCTCCCTCCCTCATTCCTTCCTTCCCTCATTCCTTTCTTCCCTCCCTCCCTCATTCTTTCTTCCCTTTCTCCCTCCCTTCCTCCCTCTATTCCTCCCTCCCTCCTGACTCCATTTTCCTCCCCCCTCTCTCTCTCCCTCCCTCATTCCTTCTTCCCTCCTTTCCCTGCCTCTCTAATTCCTCCCTCCTTCCCTCCCTCCCTCTATTCCTTCCTCCCTACTCCCTCCATTTTCCTTCCTTCNCTCCTCTCTGCAAACCCCACTCCCTTCTGGCACTGATGAGGTTACCTAATTGGGTCATGAAACATCGGCAAGAAAAACACCAAGCTGAGAGAGCAGCAAGAACCCCACAAGGCCCCCTCTTCCTCCTCATCCACTCCCTTCTAGTACTGATGATGTTACCTACTTGGGTCATGAAACGTCTTCGAGAAAAACACCAAGCTCGGAGAGCACCAGACCCCACAGTCCTCCTCCTCCTCCTCCTCTTTCCCCTCTCTGCAAACCCCGTTCCCTTCTAGCACTGATGATGTTACCTAGTTGGGTCATGAAACGTCTTCAAGAAAAACACCAAGCTCAGAGGGCACCAGACCCCACAGTCCTCCTCCTCATTCCTTTCTAGCACTGATGATGTTACCTAGATGGGTCACGAAACATCTTCAAGAAAGCCAGCAAATTCAGAGAGCACCGAGGACCTCCCAAATTTGGATTTAAAGCCCCAAAATCCATCGGGTTGCTGGAGGGCCTGACTGGAGAACAATTCTTCCCACGTCTGATCCCTTCTAGGGGGCGAGAGAATCCGTTCTCCTGAGCCAGAGATAAAATGTTGCTGTGCCACCATTTGCTCCACCAGCCTAATGCCCGACCCCTGTGAGCCCCCAAGTCGTCCTACTTACCAAACGACAGGACGAAGAAGAACGGCAGCCAGCAGAGAATGAAGACCCCAACCACGATGGCCAACGTCTTGGCTGCCTTCTTTTCCCTGGAGAACTTCAAGAGGCGGACGGAGAGCGAACTCCTGAAGGTATGTCTCTTGGTGCTAGCCAAGGAGTCCTCCAGGACATTCCGGCAATGGATCCTGAGGACCACTTCCATGGATTTGTTCCGTTCTTTCTTGACCCCGGCTTCCAGGCTCTTGGTGGTCCTCCTGGCCACCACGTAGATGTTGAAGTACATCACCAGGATGACCAAGAGGGGCAAGTAGAAGGAGAAGAGGGACGAGAAGAGGGCGTAGCCGGGCTCTTCCGTGATGGTACAGTACTGGTCGCTTTCGGGCGGCTCTTCCTTCCACCCCAAGAGGGGCCCGATGGAGATGACCATGGAGGAGAGCCAGACCACCCCCAAGATAACCACGGCCTTCTTCTCCGTCATGATGGTGGGGTACTTGAGGGAGTACTTGACCCCGATGTAGCGGTCCACCGAGATGATGCACAAGCTCATGATGGAAGCCGTGCAACAGAGGACGTCCACGGCAGCCCAAATGTCGCAGAAGATGCGGCCGAAGACCCACAGATCCAACACCTCCAAAGTGGCCGAGAAGGGCAGGACGGTGGTGCTGAGCAGCAGATCCGCGATGGCCAAGTTGATGATGAAGTAGTTGGTCACCGTCCGCAGGTGCCGGTTGCAGGCCACCGAGAGGATGACCAAGATGTTGCCCACGATAGCCAAGAGGATGAAGATGGCCAGGAAGACCCCCACGCCCACCGACTGCAGGCTGAGTCCCTGAGTTACGGAGGAGGCGCTGCCGTTGGAGAAGGCATCTTCTGTGTTCCAGGAGTCGTTAATCCCGCCGCCGGCTTCCCCCCCGGTGTGGTTCCCATTTAAGCTGGCATTAACCCGGTCAGAGAAAGTCATTCTTTTTTAAAACGGTTCAGTCTCCATCGGGGACGGAGGCTCAGCAGAGCGACGGGGAGAGGGGGCAGCCTTGTCTCTCTCTTTCCCTCCCACGCCCCCCCCCCTACTACATCCCGGGAGCAGGGCTGACCCCTGCTGAGAAATCCCAAAGCCCCCTCCCCCTTTTTAAGCATATGGAGATAGTCCTTTCCTTCCTTCCTCCCTTCCTTCCTCCGTTCCTTCCTTCCTTCTTCCCTCCCTTCCTCTGTTCCTTGCTTCCTTCCTTCCTTCCTTCCTTCCTTCCTTCCTCCCTCCCTCCCTCCCTTCCTAATCTTTCTTTCTTTCTTTTTCTTATCCCGGCTATCTCCCTCCTTTTGCAGATAATTCCTTCCCTCTTAGCATTGCTCACCGCTTCCTTGGTCTCCAGCCACACATCACCGGCAGATTTATTCCACAAAGGAGCTGGATCTCAAGAACTTCCCCTTGTCCGGTTTCTTCCCAACCTGTCTGCCTCCAGGCATCTATTCTCCTCTCTCTTTGGGGTACTAACAAACCTTAAGCCCCCCCCTCCTGCCCCCCTCTCTAAATCTCTCCCCCCCACCACCGAAAGCTGTTCGCTGTTATTCTAAGGGCCCTTTCCCCTCGGATGATCTGGGAGAGGGAAAGGGAAGGAAGGAAAGGGAAAAGGGGAGGAAAGAAGGAAAGACAAGCAAGAGTACGAGAGAAAGGGTAAAGTGGGTGAAATAACGGAAGGAAGGAAAGAAGGGAGGAAAGAAAGAGAAGGCCTGAGAAAGGATAAGGGGGATGAAATAATGGAAGGAAGGAAGGAAGGACAAGCACAAGGGAAAGAAAGGATAAATTGGGTGAAATAATGGAAGGAGGGAAGGAAGGAAAGGAAGGAAGCAGGAAAGAAGGGAGGAAAGAAAGACAAGGACCAGAGAAAGAAAGGATAAAGGGAACGAAATAATGGCAGGAAGGAAAAAGGGAGGAAAGGAAAGCAGGTGAGGAAGGAAAGAAGGGAGGATAGAAGGAAGGAAGGAAGGAAGGAAGAAAGAAAGAAAGAAAGAAAGAAAGAAAGAAAGAAAGAAAGAAAGAANGTTGGGGGCAATATGCTGACTCTGTAAACCGCTTAGAGAGGGCTGAAAGCCCTATGAAGCGGGATATAAGTCTAACTGCTATTGCTATTGCTATAGTTTGATACTCACCAGGCTCAGGGTTGACTCAGCCTTCCATCCTTCCGAGGTGGGTGAAATGAGGACCCGGATTGTTGTTGGGGGCAATATGCTGACTCTGTAAACCGCTTAGAGAGGGCTGAAAGCCCTATGAAGCGGGATATAAGTCTAACTGCTATTGCTATTGCTATAGTTTGATACTCACCAGGCTCAGGGTTGACTCAGCCTTCCATCCTTCCGAGGTGGGTGAAATGAGGACCCGGATTGTTGTTGGGGGCAATATGCTGACTCTGTAAACCGCTTAGAGAGGGCTGAAAGCCCTATGAAGCGGCATATAAGTCTAACTACTATTGCTATTGCTATGAAATGTTAAAGAATGGGATGGGGAATTCGAGAACATATTTAGCAATGGAGTTGATGTTAGATTAGAAATTAAGAGCGATTAGTGATATTGTTTATGTATTAAGAAATAAGTTTAAGATAAAAAATATGGAACGCGAGTAAGATGGCTGAAATTGAAAACAGATATGTACAATGGATTATGTATATGAGAGGATGGGAAAGAAAAGATCTGGACAACACTTTGTTCATAAATTATGTAAAAATGTGCAATAAAAAATAAAAACCTTTGGGGGCGGAAGAGTAGGGATTTGCGGGTTGTCCCCCCCCCCAATCTTTAATACAATGTATGTTCATTCCAAAAATGTTTTGTTCCCTCGATGTTAAGAACATTGTTTAGATTTAATTGCCTGTGTTCCTAAAACAACCCTTGTTTCATCTCAACTGAGGTCTCCCAGCCTTTAAAATAAAACAAGGCCAAAGAAATTGGTTCAAAAGCCCTGTGCTGCCTTTCTCTTCTTCCCCAGATAAGGCCTTGGAAGCGGTGATGAAATGTTTGGGACCTCGCATTGTTGAACACATTCACAAACAAGCCTTCGGCCAGGGCTTTTCAGGAGGCAGAAGAGCATCGCCCGATGGTGAGGATGGGAAGTCCGGAAATCCTAAAGTTTTCCCGAAACCGTCCAAGAGAGAAGGACATTCCCGACACAGCTCCTCCGATAGTAAAAGCAAGGTTGCTGAGGCTCCTGAGGGCCCCAGCAAAGAAGAGACCGCAGCCGAGGGGAAATCTAAGAAATTGCCTTTGGGAGCACCACCAGTGAGTGAAGCGGATATTCTGGCCAGTAAGGTAGGTCATCCGCATTTGGTTACGCTGTTTAGTCTTCCTGGGACAGCCCTGTCTCCTTCGTTTTAGTGGCATCTTTTAAGCCACACACTCCTTTTAGCAGTTTCAAGAAGGCTCCGCAGCCATTTGCACTGCTCAGGTGACCCTGAGGACACAGATAAACTTCCAGGTGGCCTCAAGGTCTCTCTTAAAAGTGCAAAGGACCAGCTGTCTGCAAGGAGTATAAATCCTTCCATTCCCCCCATCCAGTCAGAGCTGAAGAAGCTTCTTGGATGAGAAGCAAAATGTCTTCAAAGAAAAACTAGTAGCCTCTTGGAAAAAGCCCCTTTGGGGTAAATATATCAGTATTGTCTCTGAGGTTCAGTGGATTTTTAGAAAATAGGCTTTTAACCACTGTTGTCCTGCTATTGGTTCCTTTGTTAGCTATGACTGCTTAGTTTTTTATTGTGTGTCTTATTGTGTTTGTATACAAGAGATTAAATGTGAGAAATCATGAAAATTTACCAAAGAAAATTTATTTGCAGTTTTGGAGTAAACCCAGGAGTATGGGGACTATTCTTCAAATATCTGACTTGCCAGAAGATGTTTTTACAGATCAAGATATTAAGAAAATAGTTCAGCCTTTTGGAAAAGTTAGTGACATATTAGTTGACCGTTGTAAGAAAGAGGTAAGCAGCTTCTTACATTTCTAATATGTTTAAATTTGCTGAAATTCTCCCCCCCCCACCTTTTTTTTGTTGCAAAAATACATTCAGGTGGATATGTTTGAATGGTTCTATTATCGGAGGAAAATTCAAGATTGTTTGTATTTCTTGAATGCATAAATAGCAAATGTAGGCTGTTCACTTTCAGGGTAAACAGTTTTATGCAAAAATGCAAAAAAAGAGGTAAGAAGCAAAACAATTGAAGAAGATATGAAAGCAAGGACAGTGGTAGCCCTGATGATGGTCACACTACTTGGGTAGTGAAACGCCTGCAAGAAAACAGCCGAGTCAGAGAGCATCAAAGACCCCGTGATTGTTATTTTTTTAATTGTTCTTGTTACACCTTCAATATCTTAGATACTGGTTTTATATTTTCTTGCATTTTTCTTGACAAACCATTCCAATTTTGACTTTAATATTTGTACACTGCATTTTAATTATTGCTGGTTATTTCCGTTATTTGAATAGAAAGCTAGTACGTCACTGAAATAAAATATGAGTAGGATCTCCAATGAGAAACTTTCTGTTTTCTTTAGGCTTATCTTGAAATGAATTACAAAGAAGCAGTAATAGCGGCTGTCAAATACAATGAAACCTGTCCTGTCCTCATTAATGGCAGGCGGGTGAAGATAAGCGTGGCAGAAAAACCCAAGGCGCCTTCTATCCAGGTTAGCAGAGACCTGTTGTGAAAAGGAAAGTTTTGTGGCTTTGTTCAAAATATTTCCACATTGTCTTGAATTCTGCTTTTAATAACAAGGCAATTTGGACCAGCCTCCCAGATTTCATACTTCCTCCAGTTGCTGCAATGCAAAACAGTTGCTTTGCTTTGCCCAAAATACCATCAAACATTCGATTCTGGGAGTTACAATAATCTTCATCCCAACTGTTTTAAATCCACCAATGTGCTGTCCTCTTTAAGCAGAGGTTGGGAACCACCTATATTCCCTCTGACTCAGTTGTCAACTCTACCTGGTGCTACAGGTAATCCTCAACATACCATCACAGTTGAGCTCAAAGCCCAAGAGGGACAGTTGTAAGTTTTGCCCTATTTTACAGTTGTGAATTGAATTGCTCTGTTGTTAAATTAGTAACACAGTTGTTAAAGGAATCTGGTTTTCTCCTTGACTTTGCTTGTCAGAAGGTCGCAAAGGGGCATCACAGACTCCAGAACTCGGCACGTGTCATACTGGGTCAGTTGCCACGCATCCAAATTTTGATCACGTGACCATGGGGGAGTGCTACAACGGTCGCAAGTGTGGAAAATGGTCATAAGTCACTTTTTAAAATGCCGTTGTAACTCCAAAGATTCACTTAAAAACCGTGTTACTAATTTAACAACTGCAGTGAGTCACTTAACAAGTGTGGCAAGAAAAGTCATAAAATGGGGCAAAACTCAACTGTCTTCCTTAACAGCATAAATCCTGGGCTCAGTTGTGTTTGTAAGTCAAGGACTATGTGTATAGAGCAGGAGTGAGCAGCTATAGCCCCTTTACAACATGTGGACTTCAACTCCCAGAATTCCCGAGCCAGCATGCCAGTCCACAGGTCATCGAGAGGCCATAGTTGCCCAGCCCTGGTATAGAGATACTTTGATTGGCTTAGCTGTCAAAAATCTGAGAGCTGCTTTTTCTCCTCCTCAAAAAATGACTTTATTAAATTCAAAACAAGCAGCTGTATTTCTTTTTGCAGAGCCTAAACGTCGTTTCCTTTTATTTTCAGAGCAAAGGAAATGAGAAGAAAGTTCTTCAGAATACCAAGGATTCTGCCCCGAATAATAAGTAAGACCATTAGCTTACTCTGGACTCCCAAATGCTGCTGGATAACTTTTTGATGTGAACCTTCCAAGATGGAAATGAACTCAATCCTTATTTTCTTCTTTTTAGGAAAGAGCAAATGGCATCTCAGGTGAAAAAAGGGACTTCGCTCTCTTCTGCCCGTGAGTTTTTCAATTTTTAAGCTAGTCTTTCTCCCTCCCTCTCCCTCTCTCTGCCTGTGTGTTTTACTGAATCTTCAACCCCAAATTAAGATGGACATCTGATATTTTTTAAACCCAAGCCAAACAACCTGGTGACCAGGGGCTGCTTGGAGGGAGCTGCATAGAGATGGGTAGGAGCTGTTCTTGTGGGGGAGGCCGATCCTGCAGAGTGGTGACTAATATAATTAGTGCTAGGGGAGAAGACTTTCTGGATAAACATTTGCAGAAGGGAGGGTGGAGGTTCATTCCCCAAGCCTGTGGTTGGTCTCCGAATTGTCTTGTTACAAGGCTAGGTAAAACATCTTCAACAGAGTTTAGGGAATGTCATTGTTGGTGTTCTTCTGCTTATAAGCTCTTAATAACCTCCACCCTAATTCTACACCCGAGCTACAGATATTCACCACTAGTGCAAATTTTCAGGAGTGGTTTGTTTGGCTGATGTTTGATTTTGTTGTTGGTGAGAAGGGAGTGTCTTGAAGAAAACCATAGATTCATAGGGCTGGAAGGGACCTGGGGTGGTGGTGGTGGTGGTTCCTGGTTCAACCTCCTGCCCAAGGCAGGAAACCTCACACCAGGGCTGTCCAACTCGCTGACCTGCCCTTGTCTGGCTTAGCCAAGGGGGGAAAGTCCCAGTATGTCAATTGACGCTGCCATGACAATGCAGGTTTGACACCCCTGCCTTATACCCATCCTGCACAAATGGTTGTCTGGTCCCTTCTTGAAAACCCACAGCTCCAGGAGGCAGCCTGCTTCCTTGATTAATCGTCCTCACTGCCAGGAAACCTCTCCTTAGCTCCCGGTTGCATCTCCTTCTGGGCAGCACATTATATTTTTATGGTGGGTGTTTTAATCTTACCAGGCAACGTATCCATCAATAGATGTTTAGCTATTGACACGACAAACGTTAAAGTGCATGGGCTTTGGCTAAAGTTCTTTAACTCAGTGTTTCTCAACCTTGGCAACTTGAAGATGTCTGGACTTCAACTCCCAGAATTCCCCAGCCAGCGAATGCTGGCTGGGGAATTCTG